ACTTCCATAGTACCCATCTTACCTTTTCTCTGCCCTTATGTCCGTCTGTCTCTTTTACATCTTTGAAACACTCTTCTGTTCCCCACCCCACCCCCTCTCGACTTTCTTTCACTTTGATATTCCTTTCCCACTGTGAAGTCTGAAGTCAACTAAAGGCCTAATGATAACTGTCAAAACGCCTGTCATTTGATATAAATGAATCATTTTCTACCAGTAAATTACTAATAAAACCAAGGCAAATAACAGGTAGGGTCAGTTCTACAGAAACCTTTGTCAATAAAAGGAAAGAATGCTTAAGAGCTACTCACTTGGACTGTTCGATCTCCTTTGACCCCTCCGAATGACCTTCTACTGATTTCAATATATCCTCCGGCAACCACTCGACGTAGAGAATATTGTCGTTATACTATTGAAAAGATAACCAGTGATCTCATTAAATAAGAGCACGAACTTAACTACAAAATTTAAATAAATACCACTCACTGGTTCATACGCCAGAGCGTGGTAGGCTAAGCGGGCAATCTGAGGTAGGGCATATTCCAAAATGGCTGTGATTCCCAAAGGTGGGACAATAATTCTCTTCGGTGGATCAAGAGAGTGTGCTCCCTTTCGTGATTTCTTCTTTACAATCTCCTCCACATCTACCTGCGTACTGCCCACTGGCAAATTTTTGAGTAGGAAGACGCGACCAGAGAGAACACGATTGGTGGCAGAGGACTTGGCCTCGCCCTTATCTCGTCTGCCACCAATAAGTGAGGATGAGGAGGAGGTTAGAAGATCAATGCGAACACCTTGACGCTCAAGATATTCGCGAATTTCTTGCACCAGTTGGGCTTCACCGTGAGCTAAACGTACCGCAACGGAGCCCTTTCCAGAAGGGTTGAGAAGTTCTTCCTGAAATCGAAAAAAGTAAATTCGAGTTTCACCAAGTTTAAAGGGTAAAAAAGCAGAGCAAAACGAAAAAATAGCGTATAAAACCCAAAAATCAAAGTCAGGAATGAGCTGACGAGCACATGGCATATGCCATAATCCCTACCAAGCGACGATCGCTATGAAAAGGATCGAAAAATGATGTAATGAGCCTTTTTTCACTTGAATGCATAGTATTTTAATACACTATAAAAAGAGATTTTCAAAGTAATAATAAATTGTATAACCTCATTGTTATGCTGCAAATTGTAAGACCTCAGAGAGAAGGCAGAGACTAAAGATAAGACTATTCACTACTCGGACCAGATGGAGGAGGGGGGGGGACGGTCAATGAATAATGATTAATCACATAATATTTTAATGTCAATCGATATCACACTTACGATACACAGCAAAGACCTATTTCACCTTTCTGTCAGAAAGCGTTTCGAACACGCATTTTGGGAAGAGGGTTAGCAACACGGGGCTACCGTCAGAAACACATTATTTGTGTGGTTGTTCATTCCCCCTAAGGTGTCCGTCTGTGGTTAACGTTTCCATAATAGAATATGACAAATTTTGACTAATGCAATTGATAAACATTGGATAATGGGCACAAGCGTTAATAAATAGTTGAAAATGATAATAGCGAGTAGTAGAAAAAATAAGTTGATAAAAGCAAGAATGATACCTTTGAAACATTGTACTTTGCCGACAAGTAGGTAGCAACAGCATCAGAAGTCATAAACAGAGCATTCCAGTTGTGACCAACCGAAGCCAAGGATTTTAATTCCGCTTTGCGTTGCAGCTGAAATTCTGTCCATATCAATCGATCATTCTCATTGTCGAATTCTCTATTTTCACCATCGTTTTTATGATCATCCTTCGCATCTGATTGTTTTGCGGGCAGGATATGTAACAAACGGTTCTAGAAACAGGTGTGAACCAAAACAAACGAGAAGATACAAACCTTAAATTTAGTTTTATCCAACTTGTTAAAAGCTGTAATGGCATCGCTAGGAAAGAGATAAGTCACGAAAGCAAAACCCTTGCTTCTTTGCAACTTTTTATCAAAGCAAAGGTGACACTCGCTTAAATTGCCAAACTTTTCAAATAATTCGCGCAATTCTTCTTCCTTTGCTTCATAACTTAAGTTACGTACATACAAACGACCAGAATCCTTGATATCTGTGATTATTTCATCTTTTGGAATGGTTTCAAAAACAGGTTTAGATTTAGTATTCTTTGGCGTTTGCGTAAACAAATCACCTTCGTATGGTAAAATAGTGATGAGAGAACCGTGTATTTCTCCTTCTTTCTGCAACGCATTATCAAGATCTTCTTTAGATTTGAAGTAAGCCACCGCAACACCTATGAAATATAAAAATTAGGGAAATTGAAAACGTACCCCTCTTAAGTATCTTAGCGTCTTTTATACGAATAGGTTTGAAAAACTTTTTAATTTCACTCTATATGGAAAAATTGTTGAAGGTATTGAAACTTACGACTTTAGCATTTACGCTGACATTTTTCATAAGAACCCTAAATTTTTCGGCACTCATCACCACAACGCACGTGTAAAGCAAGACTTATCTTGGTACCAATTGGCATTGAATGTGGCAGAAAAACCTTCATAAGAATAAACAAAATAGTGCATTTTTGCCTTAGTTCATTTTAGTAATTAAATAACTCACTTAAATTAACATTTTTATAAACTTATAGAGAAATTTCGAATGCACTTCTCGGTTAACCTGTTTTATTTTACCATTATAGTATTTCACAATATTTCCATGAAATAATTTGAATTTCTCCAGTTATTTTATATATGTCGTAATTATTTGCATTTTCAATAGAAATTGGTAAGTAGATAGCTTTTTTAAAAGTATTAAACCCATGACTGCTTAAAATGCACATAATGTGTTTTTTTTTAATATTTTTCATTATATGTGTTTGTGGAAATTCGGAAAACTGATTTGAATTTCAAAACAGTATAAAAGGTTGGTTCGTGTGAAAGAACCATTTGCCTCAAAATGTTTTCTATTTCGAGCAAAAAAATTTAATCTAGCTATTGATGGTCATGTAAAAACAATCATTTAATTATCATTGACTGTTTTTGACTTGTCATTGGGTACATGCAGTGAATCGTCCAACATTAAAATATACAAGGGATGCCAAAATAATGACCCTGTAAAGGCGGCTCACATGAAATTAAGTTAGCAAATCTTGAATTTAAGCACAAATATGTGAGTATTAAACGAACTACGGCTTACTGATAAGACAAATTACGGTTGAAACTTACTGTTGAGACTGTAGACAGGATTAATAGAAACGTATTGAAAGATATTTGATTGGATGGTTTCATTCATACTCACTTGCTTTCAGAAGTTGGTTTAAGTCATAACTGTATTACATTATACTTATGAAATTAAGATTATCCTTTGAGTGTTCACAAACTCCCAATAATACAAACTTTGATTTTCTACCCTTTTAGTTTTTAAAACGCTGGAGCATTAAATCCAGTTTTGTTTTTTTGTTGATGTCAACCATATTAATATTATTTATGGACATGTGATTCTAACTCAAATAGAATTTAATACTGCTCTTTGAATGCCTAAAACCCACCAATCGATGATAAGCGTAATGGGTATAAAATGCGCGTAAACTCATGATTTGATTAATTTTGTCGTTTACAAATACAATATGGTGAGTTGATGTTCCCTATTGCTAATATTTCCTTAGCGAGAATGTATTAGCATCCATATCGGCCAAGCTGGCGTCCAAATGGGCAATGCCTGCTGGGAACTGTACTGCCTGGAACATGGTATCCAACCCGATGGAATGATAGGCTCAAAAGGAGATTCCCGTATCAATGACGACTCCCACACCACTTTCTTTAGCGAAACTGGTGTTGGAAGGCGCGTGCCTCGTGCCATCCTTGTTGACACTGAGCCCACTGTTGTGGATGAAGTTCGCACTGGTAAATATCGTCAACTGTATCACCCTGAGCAACTAATCTCCGGAAAGGAAGATGCTGCAAATAACTATGCTCGTGGCCATTATACTATTGGAAAGGAACACATTGAGAACGTTTTGAACCGCGTCCGAAAGCTGACAGATCAATGTAATGGACTTCAAGGCTTTTTACTCTTTCATTCTTTCGGAGGAGGAACTGGATCCGGTTTCACTTCCCTCCTTATGGAGAGGCTGAGTATTGAGTACGGCAAGAAATCAAAGTTGGAATTCTCAATTTATCCAGCCCCTCAAATCTCAACGGCTATTGTCGAGCCCTATAACTCGATTCTTACCACCCATACCACATTGGAGCACTCCGATTGCTCATTCATGGTCGATAACGAAGCCATTTACGAGATTTGCAGGTGAGATTGGATTATAAAATTTACCTGTTTCATTTAGACGCAATCTAGATATAGGTTGGCCTTCGTATGTTAATCTGAATCGACTTATTAGTCAAATTGTTAGTTCCATTACGGCGTCTTTGCGTTTTGAAGGCGCTCTTAATGTTGACTTGACGGAATTTCAAACAAACTTGGTCCCATATCCTCGTATCCACTTCCCTCTTGCCACATATGCGCCTATAATTTCAGCCGAGAAGGCTTACCATGAGCAAATGAGCGTTTCCGAGATTACGAACGCCTGTTTCGAGCCTGCAAATCAGATGGTTAAATGCGACCCTCGTAATGGCAAGTATATGGCTTGCTGTCTTCTCTATCGTGGTGATGTGGTACCAAAAGATGCCAATGCGGCTATTGCGGCAATAAAAAATAAAAGAAACATCCAGTTTGTTGATTGGTGTCCTACTGGTTTTAAGGTGGGAATAAACTCAAAGGCACCCAGTGTGGTTCCTGGTGGCGACTTAGCTAACCTAAGTAGGTCGGTGTGTATGCTGAGTAATACGACGGCCATTTCTGAGGCATGGGCTCGCTTAAATCGAAAATTTGACTTGATGTTTGCAAAACGCGCCTTTGTTCACTGGTACGTAGGTGAGGGAATGGAGGAGGGCGAGTTTGCTGAAGCTCGTGAAGATCTCGCTGCCTTGGAGAAGGACTATGAAGAGGTGGCTTTGGACACAGACCAAACTATGGACGAAGACGAAGGTGATTACTAATTAACTGAATTTTTGTCTTAAGACTGATGATGCCATTTTTGTCATTTACCACTTACAATCTCGCATTCATTACGCTCTTTTGAGTAAAATTTTATTTTCATTTCTTTGCTTTTGCAATGGCGATATGAATTTTGTGTGAAATTGTGGATTGTGTTGACCAGTTTTTTCTAAAGGAGGAATCGAATGAATCGTTCTTAATTTTATAAAGTGGAGTAGTTTAATCTTCCAGTCTGTCAGTGACATTAAATGAGCCTTTAAGAATGTATTGATTTGAGCGAATATGTGTAAAAATTGGACATCTCACTGAAAGCAATAGTGTTTTCTGCGGGCCTCTCGCAAGTAAAACTGTTGAAAGTGTAATAGTTGTTTGTCTAAGCTGAATGTAAACTTTGTCTAAAATGCACCATTATGAAGATATTGGTCATTCTTTGGGGTTTTAATCACCATTTTATTATAGTCTTTGGTCTACGCTCAATTCTTAGCCTTCTGATGAGTGAATGACAATGTTTTCTTTCATACGTTGGGATAATTGTTAATCTTAATAGAAAAGCCTAACAGGGCCAAGTTCATATAAGAATTTACAACATATGAAATGTTCGATTTGCTTCAACCAATGGAAATAACTTGAAAACTGCAAATGGTGTAGTGAAGGTTTTTTTTATGGTTTCGGGCTATCATGCTATTCAATCAGTGTATTATCAAAAGCTACCAGATTGTCTGACCACAAAATTAGTTAAAATAAATCAGCAAAGAATAATTGATTAAAATCCAGATTTAATATTTCCACTCAAATTATATTTAACCCAAACCCGGATGCAGATGAGTTTGCCTATAATTCTGTGAAATTTTAAGCCGAGTACTGTTCATAAAATCGAAAATATCGATATTTATTTGAGTCATGTTCATAAGGATGGTTAAATTTTTATGAAGAAGGCCTTTAATTTTGGTAAAATATATCCATTAGCTTAAATGATCTGTTTAATATATATCTACTCACAAACCCAGACATTTATTTTCCTATCTGCTTCGTTATGACAATGTCCTCTTATTTCCACTAAATATGCTGCAAATTGACAGGCAACTATTGTAGTGCTTTCACATTTTTGATTGTGCTAATTTTAAGAAATGCGGGAAATTCGAGAAATCTGTCTCAAACTTAATGACAACTCTAATCGAAAAATGGATATTTTAACCCTGGGATAGGCAAGATTTCGATGTTTATCGGCTCTAATATTAGGGTGAAAGGGGTGTGCGATAGACTTACCTCCACGTGGTGCACACTGGGCAACGCATACTCATGCGGCAAAAAAGTCTATAAACCGCCAGTTGACTTCTGAGTTCAAACTATCATCACTCCACTGTATGTCATATTCGACCACTTTACAGTACTCACCTCACCTTTCATCTACCTTTGTGTCTGTCTCTTTTACATCTTTGAAACACTCTTCTGTCCCCCCCCTCTCGATTATTTTCGATTTGATGTTCATCTCCCTCTGTGAAACCTAACTCTTTTCGATTTGATGTTCATCTCCCTCTGTGAAACCTAAAGTTAACTAAAGGGCTAATGATAACTATCATAAAGCCTGCCATTTTATAAAAATAAATAAATATTAGGGTGAAAAGGATGAACGCTCGTTCCTGCGCATTTCTGTTCATTTAAATTTATACTAGTATTTTCGAAATGTAAAATATATACACGAATGAACTTTCAATGCATAAATTGTTGGAGCTCGAAGTATTTTTACTAATAGTTATCAGTCTCAGAATGATTTATACATGAATCATTTTATATGATAACAATATGGATCATAACTAACGTATGTTAATTTCCATTCTATCCAGAATGCAATACTAATTTTAAATATCCCATTCTTGTATTTCGCTGCTGAAAATAGTCAAAAATTCATCATAATATTACAAAATTCAAGCTAGTTCTGCCTTTTAATGTTTATAAACTCATTCGCCTAGAATAAATAGCATTTTCGCTTTCATAATTTTATCAATTATAAATATATTAAGTTAAATAATCGACGACCGTTGAAGACTATGCTCGTTCAGCGTTGATTGAGTTTCAAGGACGATCTTCAGCCATCCTCCAAGGTTTTTGCCCGTAGTGCTTTTGGCTCAGTTAACTTGGCTGTGATAATCTGTTCATTCTTGATATTTCAAAATAAAAGTCACTGTTGCTGGTTGGTCATGAATGTTTCTCCATTAGATCTAAAAATTTTTGGTTTCTACAAAGAAGTTGCATTTTTTCCTACTATTGGTCAAGGCACAATATATAACTTAACGCACTTGCCATCCCAGTCTTCAATTGATCGCGGCGATAATCCTAATTGTCGCAAATATGATATTCTTGTCGCCTCTCTTCTTCCTTCGTTTGAGAATTCATCATCATCCCGTTGTTGCAACCTCTTCTCATTTTCGACAGTTCAAGATCGACTCGTTACGTTTACAAAACCGTTTGATTTCAACTATCTTCCAGGTAAAACGTCCTAAACGTTACTAACATGATAAACTAGTCGCTGACATTGTTTGTATCAACTCTTTCTACGATGAATACTCGAGAAATTACGTTGTTTCGATGGGTCTAGTAAAGGTTTCCTAATTTACTTCGTTTATATCAATCTTCTTTAGGAAGAAGGATCTTGTTACTTTAATATATACTCCGAAGGGAATTTATCCTGCCTCCCGGAAAGGTTCATATGTCTTTCTGAACTTGATCATTTTCCAGTTCAAGTCGTTCACACCTAGTAGGTGTCTTGATTGATATTAAATTGGCCAATACTTTAGTTTCCTGTTACCGAATACCTCGGAAATGCAATGGGCTTGTCTCTTGTCAACGTCTGGACAGCTTATGTCGGCACTTGATTTATCTCAAAATTCTCCGTCTTGGAAACCTGTCCAACTCTATACTAGGTTTCTGGATTTTGTTCCTTCTGAGGTAAATTTTAAATTGCCTGTATTTTACTATTTCATCCTCTATTATTAGTATATTTTTTGAGACGAATTAATGTATGCAATTTAATTTGGATCCCTTATTTTGTATTTCAGTTTGTTATTATTCTTCTCTCTGTTAGTGGGCAAAATCACAGAATAACGTTCTTTTCTTAATGCTCTTTTTTCCGAGTCCTGCATTACAATTTTAGAGGTTATAGCTTCAATACTCTCCAGGGGACACCTTGCAAATAGTAATTATGAAATGTAAGTAAAATTATGGTAAAAATTCTAACTTCGCATCAGTGGTGTTACCTAAATGGACTTGGATAATTGGAGTTATTTATAACATGCCAACTCCCTTTCATCTCACATTTATATGAGAAATGAATAGTCAAAAATTGCTATGATTGACAATTTTTCCCCAATCAAAATAAGGGCAAATCAAAGAGGCGAGGGCTTAAATTTTACGCCAGTGAGACTCCACCAACCAGTTCTGGGGATGAAGGTCAAAGCTGCAGAGTTACAGCTGATCAATCCACTAAATCAATTTTTGGTCTAATCGATTCTAACACAACTTGCAAGCTCTTTCCAGAGTTAGGAAATCTTCCTTCAAAAGTGTGAGTCCCTGGGGTTATGCTTGAAATTTATTGCCTGTATTGAAATAACATATTTCTTTTTTTATTTATAGAGTGACATACATGGATTTCTTCTTATTGGAAGATGATGAAACAAAATATCGATTGTCAGCATTTGGAACCCTGGACGGTTGGGTTGGTGTCGGATTAGTTGACATGGCCAAACCTGGTTCGTTTTCTTTACAACAGACCAGTTAAAATCATCCATCGTATCTTTTAGTGTCTGCTAGTCTAAGAGTCCCCGGAATTAGATTAGTATCAGTGGGTATTCCATTCGAATTTGCCTCTTTTCAAATGCCAAATTGTTCATTAATATCTGTAAAGTAGTATGAAAATAGGCTAGCTTTCAAGCGGCTCTTCTGAAAAGTTCAATGATACTCCAAGATGAGCGTTGGAAATGAGCTTGAGGAAGTTCAAGTGAAAGGCAGTAATCGATTCAATTTACATTCCCAACCTTTTAACAGTTTTTTTTCTTCGAAGTGTTTACTGAAAATTGGACTCATGTTTCGCCGGGTAACGAATGCATCACTATGACTCTTTCATCGCGTAATGTTTACTGCTATATGCGGGATTAAGTGTCGGTCTCAATTCTACACTAAGACAACGCTTCACCTGTTTCCTCGTAATGTATTGTCTAACTCGTGTATTTTTAATTCAAAAGCCCCAGTATTTGTCATTTTAATCATCTTTTAGGACCATCGTATACAATTAATTGCTCTATAATTAGAAACCAATTAATATTAATTATTTTATTACGTAGAATTGAAGGCCTTCTACTCGGTCTCCCACGAATCAATGATTACAAAGTTAAAATTCTTCCGTCAGTTCAGTCAAGGTAAGTGGGCTTTAATTACCAGCATCCTCGCATCTAGATTCCACCACTTCACCATCAGCTATTTCCCTACTGGTCTGTTCTGGTCTCGAACCAGCTGTGGTTTATCGGTAAGAAGAAGAAGAAGATCCGGAAACGACTTGATGTTGGACTTTTTATGTATGCTTTTAGTGTGATTGCCTCTAACCCATTTCCAGGTGCCCATTCGATGATAGTCGGGAGGGGAAGCTTTCGATTGGATCTCAACTTATTCTGCCACAGAGTGCAGATTTTGATCATGTCAATTGTGCTTGTGTGACGGATCTGGATTTCGATGGACAACCGGAGATTGTGATTGGTACTTTTGGCCAACGGCTTCTCTTCTACAAGTGGATTAGTCAACCTGATTCAGAAAACGGCGGATCCTACTCGTAGGCCAACATTTTCATGTTTTTTTTTTAGTTTGTTAGTTTCAGCTGTTTAACTCGGAGTGTTGTTTCTCGAACCTCTACCATAATTACTATGGAAAAGGTTATGTTAAACTGCGAAAGCAATGCCATTTTCGATCGCGATAGCAAATTGGATTAGTATTCATTATTTCCTTAGCAAGCCACAATACCCACGCTAATAGATCGTTATTTTGTTTCTCATTTTGTGTTCCTCTTCGCCTATTAGTCCTATTACCATTTTCTCAGGTGCATATGCATTCCAAAGCATTTATTTATTTATATCAAATGGCAGGCGTCTTGATGGTTATCATTAGCCCTTTAGTTGACTTCAGGCTTCACAGAGAGGAAGGAACATCAAATTGAAAAAAATCGAGAGGGGGGAACAGAAGAGTGTTTCAAAGATGTAAGAGACAAACACAAAGTTAAAACAAAGGTGAGGTGAGTACTGTGAAAATATTAGAATATGGCATCGAGTGAGGTGATGGTAGTTTGAAGTGAGAAGTCAACTGTCAGTTAATAGACTTTTTTACCGTATGAGTATACGTTACTCAGGGTGCACCACGTGAAGGTAAGTCTATCGCACACCCCGTATTCCAAAGCATTCATTTGGCTAAATGTCAGGAGTCTGGAACCAATTGGTTCTAAGTATTCTCATTACTTGAAGTA